ATAGTTTTTCTTTTGCCAACATTCCTTCTAAATTGTCTAAATTAATTAAGAAGGAATGTGAGGCCTTTGCTTCTTGTAACTAGTTTCTTTATTCTTAATGCCAATTGCTATTTGCATTTACAAAAAAAAAAAAAAAAATGTAATTTAAAAATTTATTCAGAAAAAGAAAATATTTTTATAACTTATTTCAGTATTTATAAATAGGCATTTTTTTACCTGTTGATATTGAAGCGAGTTCATTTCATAATAACAAGAAAATCAAAATTTTCAATCATACAGTTAATCACAGAAAAACTAAAGTGTAGAAAATAATACGAATAAACACACTAGAATTTATAGTGTTTCGATCTAACCTGACCTATGTCCACTCCCTAAAACCCTCCATTTCATGAACTACACTAAAAGTAGTGTGACACCTTTACCCCCAATGTAAGGTGGACAAGCCCTTAAAAATTCTCTTCAATCAACCCTACGTGGTAAATAACCTTAGTCTATTTCACCCTCCTAGCAAAGGCAAAGAAACTGGAATAATTTTTCTCCCTCCAGGAGATGGAAAAGAACCCATAATCCTTTTTCTCCCTCCTTTATATGGCAAAGAACAAAGAGCTAGTTCTTTAGAATGTCTCCTTAGAGCCACCAATGAATCAAGGAAAAATCTTGAAAAAGATAAGGAAGAGCCATACATGGAGTAAATTTGTGAATCCCTCACAACTCTCGCTCACAAACAATTCTCCCTCTCTTTTTTCCCAAAGCACTGCTTTACTCCCTTTCTATGCTTTCTCTCAAGACACTTAGTAGATAAAAGTCATTTCAGGTGACTGTGGGAAAGCTTAAATAGAGAGCCTCTTAGAAAGCCCAAAATTTTAATCTGGCATCTTTGATCATCCAGTATGATCCAAGATCATACTATACAATTAGTTCAAATTAGTAATTTTAGATAGTATGAACTACAACCAACTAAATGATCAGTTTACATGTTTATATTGATCATACAGAATTATTTAGAACCTCATCAAATATTATTATTACAAACACATAGCTAATCATCCAGTACGATAGGCGATATTTAGTTATCATAACATGTAGGAATCAGGTCATGTAGTAAGATCATCTCTGATTGTTTTGTGTGATTTGTGTGAATAATATAACCATAATTAAATTCCTAATCATAGGGTCAATTTAGGCATGATTTCCTTATATCATACAGTATGATAAATATCATTACTATACTATTAGAAAAAAATTGAATTTAAAAAAAGAAATAAATTACAATTTATTACTATTTTCATGATTATAACAAATCAATATGTATGAATTGGATCATCCAGTATTTTATAAATCGTACTGCATGATTAGTTAAGAAGAAGAACTTTTTAACTCACAAACTCACTCCCTAAGTTTTTATGTGCAAGGTGACTTAGCTTTAGGATCCACCATAATACTTATTTGACTCAAGAAAGGAAAAAAATATAAAAATAATAAAAAATATGAAATTTATTCTTAATCTGCCCAGTTTTGATCTTACCATGGTTGCAAGTGAGATGTGATCTTGAAATGTTACTGAGTATGGAAAAATACGTATGCCATAGATTCAAATAGAATAGTAAAAAAACCAATAATGTTTTTTATCATTAAAACCATAAGTATTGGGTCTATATTATCAATAATAAGCTTTTGGCCTATAAAGAAGGAAACAATTGTCTATTGCTTTGGCTTGTTCTTATATTACCCATATGCAAATTTTTTTTCCTCAAACTTTAGTTTGATATGAAGTTATAAATTAATTAGATTCCTATCAATAAAAAATTTTTAAGAGCTATCGACCATCATATATGGCTCTATGTTTGATCACATTTAAACATAAAGCTTATGATGAGTGTTCAAAAGTTAGAACATGCTTATAGCTTTCACATGACATAACTTGTTTTTTATTTTAAAAAAGAATAAAATTTTTTTGATAGTATTCAGAGTTAGAATTTAGTTTAGGCCATAAGATAAGTAATAGTTTATTAGTGGATTTTATATTGAATTATTAGAATTTTAATAAAATGGGTAATTTATTTTACAAAATAGAAAAATCTTATTCACAAATACAATTTTTTTTTATCTCTGTGTTAAATCTGATTATGTTAATAAATCAAGTTGCATTACTGTATGGGATGTCAATTATCTTGGTTAAAAGCGTTAGGGAGTTTCAAGGGTCCTCTATGTGCTTGGGTTTTAGAGTTATGAATTCAATTTTTTTCCTTTTCACTACAACATTGTGGCCTTTTATAGTCAGGTTGGAAAAAGATATAGAGAGGAGTGTCACATTGCTCTAGATTTGGATGCTATTACTTTTTTAGTTAGACTGGAGACATAGAGTGGAGTCTTGTGTCGCTAAAAATATGGTGGCGCAATGTTCTAAGTAGGGCTGGAAATTTATAATTCTCATTTCTCTTGTTTAACTTGTAGTATTGTACCCTTGTTTAGTTTTGTTTTTGTATCATTGTCTATTATATTCCTGGAAGGAATAAAAAACGACAAGGAAAGAGCAATAAAGAATGAGATACATTTAAATTCCTCAAATTTTTTTAGTGTATTTGATGGTGTTGTGTGGCTCGTGATTTTTGTTTTAATTTCAAAATTTTCCACATTAATCCAAAAATTTTTTGTTGCATTTTCTATGTTTTTTAGTAGATGTTGTGTTGGTTACTTTCCTATCAAAATCTTGTGAACAAAAATTTCAGTTAAAACAAATTCCCTAATTATGTAAGAAAAGGCTAATTGTAAATAAATATTTTTAAGGAACTTAGTTAAATTCACAAAAATGGATTTCATCACTTAGATGAAAATCTGATGCAATATTGCCACTTAAAATTTTTTAGATAATTTTTTAAAAGAATAAATTGTAGAGGAGATTTAGGATAATTAGTTTATTGCAGATGGATTAAATGCACACAAATAAATATTTAAATATAAGAATTTGAATTATTAAAAATTAAATTATATTTTATGTGATAAAAAGATTAAATTATTACTTTTATCCCTATAAGTAATTCTAACTATTACTTATATTAGAGAAAAATAAATTTTTTTAATTTGAATTAAAAGAAATGAGTGCAAAATATTTAAAAAAAGTGAATATAGTTTTATAGATTTCTTAAACTTTCTTAACTTTAATCAAAAGTGTGGATAAAAAATATATTTTTTTACTATGAAGAAATTATCTTTCACTTTAAGCAAGTGACAAAAGAACATATTTTAGAGAACATAAGGATTATAAACTCGCAGTTAGCTGGAAAAGTCAAAAACTTATAAAGTAGTGAAGTTATTCTAATGATTAAAAAGATAGACATAATATAATGCATTATTTCTCATAGGGAGAACAACCAGGGCTAATTAAATTCTAAAATGCTACAATTCAATGAATTGGCATTTAGATTACTCAAGAGTGGATGTATGAAGCTAAAGGTATCATTATAGAAGGGGACAACTTGAATGTTATGAAGCACATCCAAGACATTTTTAAGAAGGGCCTAGCTGTAAGTAATCATTCCGAATTACTTGATTTTTTCTTTCTTAGGAATTTCAATCAAGTCATTTTTCAATTTTTGAATAGAGGATGTAATAAGTTATCTGATTATTGAGCTAACCATGCTAGGTTGGGTGATTATATTTGGAATAACTTGATTATCAATAGCGTTCCTCCCATGTTCTTCAAATTGTTGAAGGAGGAATGTGATAATCTTAACTTTGTTTAGCTCTTTTTTTCATTTTCAATAAATTTGCTCTATGCATCTTCTCAAAAAAAAAAAAAAAAAAAAAAAAAAAAAAAAAAAAAAGAATTGGCATTTTACTTAAATTAATCTTGGATGGAAACATCCAAGATAGCATTAGAAAACTTTGACAAAAGAAATGAGCCTACAATATGAGACAAAATGAAATGAAAATTTGCACTTGATAGAGGCCTTTGGAAAAAATGATAATATATCTTCCTTCTAATACAATATTTTAAAGTGCTTAAAAAATTAACAATGAAAAGAATCAAAAGTCTATTAAGTAGTTCCATAATTGTCTTTTCTAAAAATGCATATAGCATTAAAGTAAAAGAGGAAATTATTACAAGCAAAGACAACTACTAGACACTCCCTTTAAATCAAAGTAAAAGAAGGTCTTTTTAGCAAGTAATTTGAGTATAATAAAACTATTAGGAAAAGTGAAAATGTCAAAATAAAAATAAGACCCTCTACTTATCATTTGAAACCCATAGGGGTAGAGGGGATATCAAAGATTAAACAATAACCCATGAGGTTGATAACTATCTCAGATTTCCCAAATGAGTAAAAAATAATAGATAGAGTAAATCTTAATTTCCATTATTCTAAATCCTTTTTCCAAATACCACCCTTATGCTTAAAGTAAATAAAGAAAAATTAAGATTACTAGACAAGCTAAAAGAAATGAAATTAAGGAAATAGAACATCGTCAAGATACAACCTATAATCTTGACACCTCCACAATGCATGTCTTTAAGAAGCTCCACCATCATCAACCACTTCATCGAGCAACCATGAACTTTCCTTTCATCAATCATTTTACTAGTTAAATAAAGTAGCGGCTCCAATGCTGCCACCAAGAATGTCTATCTTACTTTCTCTATGGCTTCCTTTAATAGGACCAAACAACCTTGTATCTTTATTAAATCTCTTCATAATAAGGAATGAATTGGATGGTATTTGGAATTTCCCATCTTCAAACAATTCTTCTCTAGAATTTACATTCCTAGATTTGGACAAAGGAGTACATACCTTTTTATTAACTTCTTCTCTGGTATCAGATTTAGAATTAGAAACAATTCCGATTCTATCATCCAGAATTGTTGACTCCACCTTATTCTCCTAGATCTCTTCATGATGAATTGCATTTGTAACATTATCCACCACACCATATTAATATCCTTTCCCTGATTCATCGTCCCCTAGTTGATTAAGAACATTAACAGTATTAGCAACAAGTACTTCTTTACACCATCCAGCTTCAAAAATTCTATTTGTCCCAGAAATATGTATTCTTGTATGCTCTTCTGTTGGACATTCTGAAATATGAGCTTTAATTCATTCCCTTTCATATTCCCAACCACAGAATTTGATAATATCTGCTCATCCAAGATAGGATTTGATGAAGTTTCCACTTCCAATCTATTTTCAGCCTCATGAGAAAGCATTTCAATTTTATTAGCTTTCTCTATAAAACCATGAGCACGGTTTTTAACTACTGGAACAGCCATTGAACTCTACACTTATTCCTCATTTTATTTTTAAATTTCACATGTAACCAAGGACTATATTCTCTAGAATGATCCTTAGCTAATTCCTCATTTTATTTTTAAATTTCACATGTAACCAAGTCTTTGTTTCCTTCATTCAAGGCTTTCTTAAAATTTTTATTTTGATCTTCATTGACTTCTTCCATACACATTTCTACCTTGTGCCCTATCTTTCCACATTTGAAACACAAAGATGAGATTTTCTCATACTCCACTTTTTGGTAAAAATTTTCCAAAAAGACCCTCAATCCAAACACCATAAGCTAGTTCGAGTCAAGGTTAATACGAACACAAGCTCTTACAAATTCTCATCTCCCCCGTTTAAACATTTTCCCGTCCAAGAACAATGGTACTCCAATTTTCATAACAATCTTTGTAACATTTTTTTCATCCCAACAATGGAGAGGTAGATGAGGCAACCGGATCCAGATTGGTGATGATAAACCTTTTAGTGATGTAGGTAAAAATTGAGGTGACCATTCAAACCAAGGACCTCCACTTAGAACTTCTTCCATTATTTCAGAAGATTGAAATGAACATAGAATCCATTCTAAACCCAATGAGGTGAGATGGAAAGATCCAATTATACTCCATTGTTTCCTCAATTCAATGCTACACAGAAAATGGAATTTATTTTCCAAATACTTTCACTACAAGAGACTTTTAGAGAAGTTTAACATTATCACTTACCTTCTCCATATTCAACTTGACAACATTTACATCACCCTCCTCTTCATGAACTGCTCCCACCTTATTCACTTTAATATGGTTATTAGACAACAAATAATTTTCTGGGCCGAATTTTCTATCCTCCACATTCAGAACAGTCTCCATGACATGTACTGATCTTTTAGTAATTCCACCATATTTTATTTCTAATTCATCATCAACATTCAAATCTTTTTCTTGTATTACCAGTCCAAAATTCAAATTTGAAATGCTTGAAATTCCACCCCATATTCAGCAACAAACGTAAATTGTTAACCTTTAAGTTTAATCCAATAGAAGAAGATGCCTCCGCATCATTGGCCATCTCCATCAAAATGTTCCTGCTCGGAGATGAATGAACAGCTGAATTCTTCTTATCTTGGGATTTAAATACCTCCTTACCTGTACCAAGTACTAAAACTGGTTCTTCCGCCATACTTAGCCGACCTTCATTGATGATAATTGGTCTCTATTTCAGCAAGCCTTCCCAATTCAAAAAACTCATTCTTTTGAATCCACATTGATATAAAACATTAGGACACCTCGCCGAGTTAGGAATGGAGGTTTTTCGATCATCATTGGCTGATGACCGGTGACCCTCCAGCACCATTCAAACCTAACGGGAAAAAGGAGATCAAAAAATTCAAATAAGATGAAGCTCTCTCTCTTTATAATACTGGAGTCTCTCTCTCTCTAGCATCCGCTCTTACAATTTCTGTTAGATCTTTAGAGAAATAAAATGAGTAGTTCCATAATTGGAAATTTCATAAATCACCTGCGTTAAAACCATAATCTAAATTCCTAATAAAAATCTTCTTGCCATTATTGAAACACAACAACTATCGAGGGACAAAGACGATAATTATAAATTTACGTAAAAAATAAACATCAAGTTCTTTAACTACAAAAATTAATCATATTCATATATAACAACTCAGCACATACTCACACTAAGGCAGAGTTTTAAAATTCATTTTTTTAACTGATTGTATAGTACGATACCATTTTGTACAGAATGATGTTGTTAGCTATTTTCACCAATGAGCAATGGAACGAACAGAAAATGGCAAAAAAATATCTAAGTAAAGATCGTGCAGATGATCTGTTTTATTCATACTGGGATGATGTTCTCTATTTTTGACGAATGTGAAAATCGTACGGATGATATTTTTCATTACCAGGATGATCTTCTCTATTTTTGATAAATGTGAAGTTCGTACGGATAATATTTTTCATTCGTATCGATACGATCTTCTCTAGTTCATCCTCGAACACTATTAATACAGATGATATTTCTCGTTAGAATCAGGATGATCTTCTCTAGTTCATCCTCATACACTATTCATACAAATAATATTTTTTATTCATACCAGGATGATCTTCTCTGGTTCATCCTCAAACACTATTCGCACTAACAATATTTTCCTATCATACCGGGATGATGGGCTCTATTTTGTTTCGTCCTAACGATTTGTAAAAACAAACTTTGAAATTTTCTATTTGTACTGGACGAACATATTCCTTACATATGATGATTGGGTATGAATAGAGATTGTACCAATTCAAAATGAGTTCGTACATGATAGTTTTTAAATTATACATACATATGAAAAATGATTATACAGGACGATCCTATACAGTCAAATTTGAAAAATGCAATTTTCTGGACAGTTGTTTGCTTCTTTTTTATAAAAGGTCCAGTTATGACTGTCATTTAATCTTTTCGTCAACTTTCTTCGATAATAATAAAGGGCAATTGAAAGAGAGAGTGTCAGAAAGTTTTTGAGAGAGATTTCTTCCTTTTGAAGCGTGAAGGGATCACTACGTTACTCAAGGGTAAGGATCTTTGTGTGTGATTTCTGTTTTCTCAATCTTTCTCTTATCTTTTTAGATTGCTCGTGTGAAGATTATTCAAAAGGATCTGGTTCTCTGCTGACACTTAGAGAGTTTGAACAACTGAAGGTTCTCTACCTATACTTGGAGAGTGTGACAGGATGAGGGTTCTTTGCCTACACTTGGAGAGTGTGAAAAGATGAAGGTTCTCTGCCTACACTTGGAAGGTGTAAAAGCATGAAGTTTCTCTTCCTACACTTGCAGAGTGTGAACAGCCGACGGTTCTCTGCCAACACTTGGAGAGTGTAAAAGGATAATGGTTCTCTACTGTAATGGGAGTGGTGGAAGAGAGTTTTGTGAAGGCTTCTCCGCCTTGCTGTGGGGGCAAAAGGAGAGACACTTGTGGTAATAGTGCAATACCTAAAGTGGTAGCTTGAGGGGGTGGATGTAGGTCGTGTTTTATCGAACCACTATAAATTATTATGTCTTCTTTATTTTTGTTGCTCTTTATTTCTGCAAGTTTATTTTTCTCTGGTTAAAAAATTATTTTTTTAAAAAAAATTTAACATTAACTTACTTAGTTTTTTAACTAGTTTCAAACTTTTAAATTCCAAGAAGAGGTGAAAATTTTTAAAAGTCCCAATTCACCCCCCATCTTTTTTAGTTAGTGTTTGGGACATAAGCTACAACCTATTCAATATTCAACAAGTTTAAACAAGTGGTATCAGAGCTTAATTTCAAAACCATAAGTTTAGACTAATTTTTATTAACGACCATGGCTAAATTTGGAAACTTAAATACACGAGAAGGTTACTTTATAAGTAGACCTCTCATTTTTGACAATATTCCTTTCAATTTTTGGAAAACACGCATGTTAACATTTTTACAGTCACTAGATTATCTTATGTGGATCTTAGTTCAAGAAGGTTAAACAAAACTAACTACATTAGTTGATGGAGTTAGAGTTGAAATTCCCTTTACAGATTGGTTGTAGAACAAAGTGAATTAGCACAACTTAACATAAATTATTTGAACAGTTTCTTTTTTGCACTTAAATATGAAGATTACATACAGATTTCCACTTGTAAAAGTGGAAAGGACATATAAGATAGACTTTATATATTTTATAAGGGACTAACAAAGTTATTCAATCCTAACTTAATATCTTGTTGCATGAATATGAATTGTTTCACATGAAACTCAATGATTCTACTTTTGACATGTACTCAAGATTCACACAAATAGTCTCTTCTTTACATGCAATTGGTAGGGAACTTATAAATGATGAAATGGTTAATAAGATACTTTGTTATTTGTCTACTACATATGATATTAAGATAACTGTAATTACAGAGTCAAAAGATTTAAATATTTATTCTATTAACAATCTTCTTAGATCACTAATTTCTTACAAGGAGTGAGTCAAAGAAAAATTGATGCTGGCCTCATAAGAGCATATGGTATTTGGACAGTGGTTGCTCAAGGCATATGATTGGAGATACTAAGAAATTTAAATCACTGGAAGCCATAATTATAGGCATGGTTACACTTGGAGATAACACCACAAGAAAGGTGATTGAAGGTGATTGGATCAAATATGATTGGAAATCTTGAGAACTATTTTATTGAGAATGTGCTGCTAGTTGAAGGCTTAAAGCATAATATTTTGAGTATAAGCTAGTTATATGATAAAGGATAAAGCATTAAAATTTTTTCCTACTAGCTACATTTTAAGTCTAAATGGTATTGATGTTTTGCATTGTTTAAGGGTAAATAATGTTTATATGCTATATTTAAATTGTATCAAAACTCCTACTGCTTTTTGTTTAAAAACTTTTTCTGATGAGTCATATCTTTGGCAGAAGAGACTTTGTCACTCTAACATGAAAAATCTTAGAAGAATTATCCAAAAACCTTAGTGAAAGGTATACCAAAACTAGACTTTAATAACGATCACCTTTGAGATGCTTGTCAATTAGGAAAATAGATGAATTCCTCTTTGCAGTCCAATAAGGATCTTAGAATAGTAAACCATTGGAGATTTTGCATATGGATCTTTTTGGACCAGTTTGAACTATAAGTCTTAGAGGGAAGGTATACGGATTTGGGATAGTAGATTTTTCAAGATTCACATGGGTTAAATTCTTAAATCATAAGAGTGAATTATTTGTGGAGTTTAGAGATTTTTAAACTTGGATTCAGAGGAAACTAGAATGTGAGATTTTAATAATTCAAAGTGATCATGGTGGTGAAGTTGTAAATGAAAAATTTAAGGAGTTTTATAAGGAGAAAGAGATTAATCATAATTTTTCTGCACCTAGAACCCCTAAGAAGAATGGGGTAGTTGAAAGAATGAATAGAACATTAATAGAAGTTACTTATGCTATGTTGGCAGAATATTTACTCCCTAAATATTTTTGGGCTGAAGCAGTTAGCACGACATATTATATTTTGAATAGGGTGAATGTTAGGTCAAAATTGAATAAAACACCCTATGAGCTTCTTAAATGGATAACACCTAATTTGCTTCATTTTCATGTTTTTGGATGTAAGGTGTTCATACCTAATAATGGAAAATCTGTCTTAAGAAAATTTGATCCAAAATCAGATGAAGAAAATTTTCTTAAATACTCTAGCATTGGAAAATCTTAAAGAGTATTCAACAAAAAAAACTTTAGTTTTTTAGGAGACCATACATGTTATATTTGATAAATATGGAATTTTGGAAGAGCCGATTGTTGAAGAGGATGAGATAGAAATTAACTCCTAAAAGATTGAAAAAATAAATTTGGATCAAAATTTGGAGTTAAAAAACCTATTGCCTTGAGAATTGAGATTTTCTAAAAACTACCCTAAGAAATTAATTTTAGGTGAACCTAGTGAGAGTGTTAGGACTAAGTGTGGACTCAATAAAGCATTCAATTATTCTACTTTTATTTCTATGATAAAACCCATAAATATTGATCATGCACTTTCGGATGAATTTGTGATTTTAGCAATGCAAGAGTAATTAAATCAATTTGTAAGGAATAATGTTTGGGAATTAATTGCAATGCCAAATGATCAAAGTGTAGTTGGAACAAAGTGAGTATTTAAGAACAAAATGAATGATTCAGGAGTTGTTATTAGAAATTAGGCTAGATTGGTAGCTAAGGGGTATAATCAGATTGAAGGGATTGATTTTGAGGAGATGTTTATCTCTATAGCGAGATTTGAAGCAATTAGGGTTTTGTTAGCCTTTTCTTATTTTAAAGGATTTAAATTGTTTCAAATGGATGTCAAAAATGCCTTTTTGAATGGGTTAATTCAAAAGGATGTTTATGTTGAACAACCTCTAGGATTTAAAAATTCAAAGTACCCAAATCATGTTTTATATTAAAAAAGGCATTATATGAATTGAAACAGGCACTTAGGGCATGGTATGACAGGTTGAGAACTTTTTTACTTAAAGATCTTTTAAAAAAGGAGGTATGGACACCACTCTCTTTTTGAAGAAATTAGGAGATGATATACTCATTGTACAAAATTATGTTGATGATATCATCTTTGGATCTACTACTAAAAATCTTTGTGATGATTTTTCTAAAATAGTGAGTAGTGAAT